CACAGGCAGTTTCTGTTTTTGCTGTTGGGGGATTCAGGCTGCAGCAGCATTCAGTGTCATGTTGTGTCAGGGTGTTAACTGTGAGTCGATCCTCCTGTAGATGAGCAAATATATACATTGTTTTAAATAGAGATCTTTTTTGTTGTTTGGTTTGTTTCAACTGGATACTGAGATCTGATTGGGCATCCAATTAAACTGCCCATGTGGTGTGAAGACTACACATGGGACTATACAGCGTGATTCCAGTGGGATCAAAAGAGTATTACATTGTGTCCCCGGGGGTCAGGGCGATATGGGAAAAACAAACCTTTGCAGTAAATTAAGTAGGCAGGAATTTACATCTGTTCTTTTATCTGTTACAGCAGGGGGTCATGATATACAGTATGATTTATTTTCTCATGAAAATAACATTTAAAGCACTGGCCATTGTACTGTAGTTAGACCTGTGTGTGTGTGTGTGTGTGTGTGTGTGTGTGTGTGTGTGTGTGTGTGTGTGTGTGTGTGTGTGTGTATGTTCTCTGATGTCTAGCAGCCACAATGAGAATCAAAGACTCAGGACTGAAAGGGATGCTGGACGAGATGTGATTGGACCAGTAAACCATGTAAACAAAAGACAAGGTAGCTTCTTTTGGTAATCAGGTTTGGTTGAAATCTACTCTAGATTCAGTTTCTGTAACCTAAGTGTGATGGATCGTCTCTTAGCTTTCAGGTGACCCTATGTGGTCTTGGAGACCTGAAGACTAGCAAGAGCTGAGCCTTTTTTTACTCTGTTCATACTATGATAAGCTAAACTGTGGAAACACTCCTGAATTAGTTTAGTTTAGTTTAGTTAAAACACTGACAGGATTTTTATTTTTTTAATAAAATTTTTTAATAATTAATATTAATCATTTTATGTATAATTGTATTATAATTATGTAATAAGTTAGCTTTAAATGGTCTCCAGCTATTATGAGATATTGATTATCACATTAGCTGCAAGGGAATTGACATTTTCACTGCATATCGACGGGTAAATATAATAATTAATTATAGTAATTAGCCTACTGCAAAGTTCTGCACACATATTGGAGAGGTAAGGGGGTTAGAGAGGAGGCTTTCGGGCAATCTACCTGAGTATCCTGATGTGACTAAATGATGCCATCACTTCCACTGTTACGACTATCATAGCATTAAGTAATGATCCAGTAAAGTGAAGACAATATTCCTGCTCTTTAAATAGTTAATATGTGTGCTGTCTCGCATTAAACATAGACCACAGGAATGTGTCACTGTATATACAAAAACATTTATATGAGAACATTTTATGTAGAAAGATAAAGACTCTAAATAATGAACAATACATGTTAAAGAGCAGGTGCGCATTTAATACATCAACATTTTAGATGCTGTACCTGCTCGTACATACATTTTAGACCAGTACATGAGAGAGGGTACATGGACCTTTTTGGACCTCATGTTTGAAACACTTATTCCCTGCGAGCAGTCAGGCAGAATAATGTGAGAAATGGCTTCGGTTGTGGGTGAGTAATCAGCAGCCTGGCGAGAGGGGTCACAGCATCAGTGTATCCATCTCCACCCAGCCGATGGCCCTCGCTGTGATTTTTAACCCCGTTGTAAGTGTCACACTGAGTGCACATAACCACCACCAGCACCTCCACCAACCCCTGGCCTGAGTGACCGCGTCCACATCCAGACGGCTAATTGGCGAGGAGCTGCAGATCTCTGGGGAGCTCGTTCCAGTCGAGTCCAGCTGCCTGAGTCGCTGCTGGACGTTCGGAGAGAAAGGGGCCCTCGGGGGTGCAGAGGAAGGGATAGTCGAGATGAGATCCACTCACTCACACACTCGCAGTGACACACACACACACACACACACACACACACTGTCAGCATTTTGCGCCGGTATGTTTGACGCGTTATACGTCTATTACTCACGGTGTTGTGACAGCTGGCAGACGGCGTGGACTGCTTTTCGTCACATCTGATCTGGGTCAGCTGTCAGAAAAATGCTGAGCTGATGGTTGTGGCAGGTTTGACACAGATTTGAGTCCTGATTAGCCCAGATTTGACTTTTTTTTGTGTGTCTGTTACAGAGTGTGACTGGATCTCTTCAGGGATAAATGCTATAGAAGCACCATTATATTCCATTTGCTGCTAAAAAAAAGTTCTTAACATGATATTTTAGGTCTCACCTTGTGCTGCTGATTAAAAAGCTTTTTTAGAGTCTTATTAATATACTGAAAAACTCTCTTTATAACACTTTTGATGACGTATGACACATTTGATGCTGCCTATAATTTCAACTCTTCTTCCCCTTATTATTATCAGAACAACTGTTGCGTTGCCCAGGTGACGCTCACCAGTCTGCTCTGGGTGATTAACATGGAGAATTTATGCTGGCAGTTGATAAGTCAAGTGTCCAGGTGGCTGCAGTTGGTTTGAAACCAGTGAAGGAAAAAAGGCCAATTTGAGAGGGTCAGTGCTACAAACTCTGCAGGATTCTCAGTTATTTTTTATATTTTTGTAGTAAAATAACTATGAAATCTAATAACTATTTTATTTTAAGCACATTTTCTTCAGAATCTGTCCCCATGAACACGTGCAGAACATTTCTTCCTCAGGTAAAGGTGAGGGTATGAGTATATATACTATAGATGACAAATGTGAATAGGGTAATTAATTATATACTGTACATGAGAGAACTATGGGCTCTGTTCAGTGGGCAGGGTGCTGTGCCCAGTACACTGGGAAACTGTTTGTGATTTTGTGGCCAAGCTTGCCCTGCCAACATTTGGATTCTTTGGTGGGGCCAGAAAGAATTAATCATGCTATAGGAGGGCATGTTAGAGGCTGAGACAATCGTTCATCATCATCACGTTTGCTGCTTTCATCCCCTTTAAACACAGAACTCTTCCCATTGCGATGCACAAAAATGCGAATATATTCATGGATTGATACAGTTTCGAAAGAACCAATGAATCAAAAGCAAACCAGTCAAAAAACTTAGATAGATAGCTTATTACTAAAAGGAGGAGGAAAGTGGCGTCTGTCGTAGACAATACTCCAAAACCAAAGAGCACACGGTAAGTGGCAACCTCGATGGCTGCAAATCAAACAAAACTGCAGTTCCTCGAGCAGCCACTAGAGGCAGGCTCCAGCAGGGAGTCAGTCTCCATAAGGCCCCATATTAAAATGCCCAACTCTACAGCAGAAATAAACATGTTTACAGCCTTTTGGTCTCTAGAGCTAATTTACCCGTACTTGACAACTGTATTGGGGGTGAATTTTTATATACCTCACCTGCTTAAATTATATTAAGGTTAAGGTTATACATAATTAAGGGCGTGGCTGCTTTGAGTGACAGGTGGGTGCTGTCACAGGCGGCTGTTTTCACTAACCAGGCTTCATTCAACCCGCCTCAGCTCCTCCTCTTTACCCAGTCAGGACTTTACTGACTAAACTTTACTGTAAATATGCTAGAATTAGCCAAGAGGCTAGTTTTCATCTGCAGTCACTGGCCAGGTGTAAAGTTGGCTGCCTAAAGTCAATAAAAAGTCAAGAACCAAGTTTAAAACAATAAGAATTTGCCTGCTGATGTGATTTTATATTAATATTTACTATCTTATTTATTTACTCATAGTCAGATTTGTGCCAAGAATGATTTTATTTGTATAAGAAGTTGAAGTTGTAATTACTATGAGCAGCAGAAGTTGAACAGAATAAATAAGAAAATATCTATCAAACTTCATTAACTGAAAACTCGACCTGTTACAGCACACACTGATCGACAGGAAGAAACTGTACCAATGTGACTCAACTTTAAATGTCAATTGAGTTTATGATGAAAGTGCAGAAGGAACGGTTCTCCTGATCTCTTTTTCTCACAGCGGTGTTTACTGGGACTGAAACTTCCAGCAGTTAAACTAAATGAATGAATCCAGTCATTGGACAGTCTACCTCCTGTAATGCACTATAATGCTCTTCTTTCACATGGCACCATCTGCCTTTTTGTTCTCAGTCATACCACACTTTTCTTTTTGAATTATGTTACAGTTCAGTCTCAGCATTCATTAACAGTCGAGGGAGCAAACTCGCTCTGCTGTGAGTCAAACTCTCAAAAAGGATTTTTTCTTTCTCCTCATCTCTGCCATGTTTTCTCCCTTTCATTCTGCTCGGATTATGTCGGATCTGAATCTGATGAAATAGCTGTACCTGTTACTTGCCGCTTGGCATCAGCATCTGATGGTGTACATGGTGAATTCAGCAGCTCTGGTTGCTAAGGGCTTCGCCAGGTAAAGCTGTTGCTAAGGACAGAAAATGTGTGTGCTTTTTGCAAAGATGCAGATGGTTTATGTTGACTGAGTTACGGTCAACGTATGTCCACATAGCTAATCAGTACCATTCATTAATAAACTGCCTACTTCCACCCTTTCTCCTAATATTCTAACATTACACAAACTAAGTTGGCAATCAATATGATGTGACTTGCTCTCTCAATTAGCACAGCCTAGCCACTGTACCTTACCTGCTACTGTCTGCATGTCTTCTTCTTGTAGCTGTCACAATAGGTGAGAACAAATATGTTGTTGAGGTATAAATCAGAATCTTGTGTTTTCGTTACCTTAGAATGAGCTTTTCTTTATCTATAGACTCTGCGGGTCCTCTTCTACGGATACCTCCATGAGGAACCACCATGTTTCTACAGTAGCCCAGAACAGACAAACCAAACAATGACTGTAGTTTCTCCATCGTGCGTGGAAGTGAAAGGGGAAGTGAGGGAGTTGCAGTCTGTATCTACACCCCTGGATGCCATTGGACTTTAAAAGAATTCATGAATGAATAAAATAGTTTAAATGTGTACATTTTTTATAATCTGTAATAAATTCTTTAAGACTTCCCTTGTTAGTTTTACCTGAGGTGTCACCTTGATTAATAACTGAATCTTTTCTCTTTGCTCCATCAAACTCTGATCTTCCCTCTCCTGTTTGCTGCGTCCTCAGGTAAAGGCGACGTGTTTGGTGACGTCTTTTGGAAAGAAACCACGCTGGCGCATGCGTGTGCCAACGTCAGAGCGCTAACGTACTGCGACCTCCACGTCATCAAGAGGGAAGCCTTGCTCAAGGTGCTGGAGTTTTACACCGCCTTCGCCAACTCCTTCTCCCGAAACCTCATCCTCACCTGCAACCTGCGCAAGCGGGTAAGACGTAACCCTGCTCACATACAGAGCAGACACACACAGACCTAAATATTACACTGTAAGTCCGACATTACCTTCTTGTGAGTTGTTTTCTGTGTGGGAAGATTCGATTTTTACTCCAACCAATTACTAATGGCTGACTCGTCAAGCAGGTCTCGCATCATCTTCAGTTAAGTGTAAACCCACCCTGACGTTACCCACTGGTTTGTGGAGTCCCGTTCTGAAGCCTCGAGTTTGGCATTATGGCCGTCACAGTCTCGTTTTTTGCAACAAGTGCGTTGAGCTGGTGGGTGACCTACTGTGAGTTGGGTGGTGCTTGGATTTTGGCTCTTTTTTCAAGCAGGAAAAACAACAAACTTTTCCATATTATAGCTAAACAGTACATTAAAATATGTTTTTGAAAACAGTGAGAAATAGGATGTCAATCACGAGGTAGCCACGCCCTAAAGCATGCCCTGTTTTACTGCCTATTTTACTCTAAATGGGACCATAATTTACTAAATGAACATCATGTTATATGGAAGACGTCTTGAAACCAGTGATTGAGACCATAAACTCATTTTGAAATTGTTCACTGAGCTCATTAAATCATATCATCATAACATCATAAATCAAGTGAGACATCAGCTCATTTCTCCATTAGGTTGAATACAATTGCACTTCTTTTTGGAGCCAATGAAGTGGCTTCACTTTTCAGACCCAGAAGCTCTGTCGACTCTTCATATACGGTCTTATTCTAAGTTAGCCCATGTACCATTAGCTTCAGTTAGCTTTAGCTTATACAATACAGCTATACTGTATTGTAAACTACTGGGTGTCTACCATAGACTGTATAATTAAAAATGGACGTCACCCAGAGGTTTCTGAAGAGTCGCTGGGAAGCTCATTGTGGTCGGCTCTGGCTGTTACCATCCTGGCAGCCCTGACTCCGCCTGCTCCTGGGTAATCCAACAATAGGCAAAGAGGGGGAGCTGAGACGGGCCGAAAGAAGCCAGGTTACTGAAAACATAGAGACAATGATCAACACAGATCCACCAACAAAAATCCATTAAGAAATCCAATTACCAACAGTGGGAAAATTTAAACAGTGAGAGTCTGGAGTTGAAGCCAAACTAAAGCTTGTGCCCATAGAGCACATTTAAAGCACAGGGCTGGCTCCTTCAGGCAATAATAGATATCTGCAGCCTGCATTCGGATAATTTCCTTTAGCCAACAGCAATCTATGTTTGTTTCATTTAAATTAATATCCATTGTTACTCAGGATGGAACCAGGGTCAAATCAATGTCCATTTTGGATCTTCCCCATGTTTGAATGAGGACACACACACCTGATCACTGTTCTCCAGGTACATGTGGAATATGCATGCATACGCTCACACACAGACCTACACCGAGGGCCAGATAGTTGAAATACATGTATATGGCTATCAATAAATTATATTCTATAAACTATGAACTTAAGAAACACACAAACAAACAGAAAATGAAAACTGCCGCTCGGAGCGAAGAGACTGCCTGCTAGGACGACGTCAGAACCGGCTAAAGGGCACGGCACATAATGAGGCAACCGGTAGCGCATCTATAATTTATTATGTTTGAGGCACGCTGAGAAAAAGACCTATTGAGCTGAGAGAATATGAAGTATAAAAAACAACTTAAGGACAAGTAAACAACAACAGACTTGTTATGAGAGAAATAGCAGAAGAGAGGATGAATGACGGAAAGGAAGAAAATACGAGTGCAACGTCAGGGTCAGATGGGCTTCCTCTGAGTGTGTTTGTGTGCTCAAGACTTTACTTCTATACTCTACTGTTCTCACAAAGGTAGAGAGAGCACAAACATCCGTAATAAGCTAAAGTACTAGCTTCTCCTCACTTGTTTCAACCCCTCAATCCCTGATTTTCCCTCTTAGATTTCCCATCAGACATCTCAGTCTAGTCTAATAAAGGCTGGTTCTTCTTCTCATAAACATTGTTAGGTGACTGACAGCTGAAGGCTTGGATGGACGTTTAACTCCTCTGGTTTAATCAAAAAATACCAGGTTCTTTAATAATAAATGCAAGGTACAAGAAGCCTGTGGACATTCAGTAAGAAACATCTAATTATAGAGCGTAATATTGTGTAGAAACCCGGTAAAACATTCAGTTTACTTTGGCTTAATTTTGGATAAATTCAGCAACTATGGAGGAAAGTTTTTAGTTTTTTCTCCACAGCTTTGATTTATTCCTCCGACGGGCTACAGCGACTGAAATCAGGAAAACTGTGCTACTCTATAAAGAGCCATCCATCATACCAAATGTGTAAAATAAAATAAATTGTGTAGAATTCATAAGCATTAATTTCCTTAAAAAAGTGTGAACCTATCGTGGCGTCACCCATTGGTTTCTGGAGTATCGTTTTGACTCACTGGCTGCGCAATTTCGACCATATCAGGAAACAATGGCGGCTCGCCTGCTCACACAGGATCTGGTATTCCAGATAAACAGTAAAATATGTTTGTGAACAGATTTGAGGAGAGAAATAGTCAACGCAGTAACAGAATCTGTATAATATATCTGTATAATATATATATTTTTAGAATGCAGGTGTAAGACACTACCGCGTCAGCTTCAGTTTGCAGACCTGCAGTCCATCATGTATACTGTGAATAAATATGAATTAATTGTTTATTCGTTTAAACTTTATCCTTTATATATGTGTAACTGTAACAAATGTCCAACTGACTGTTGTGGACTTACTGGCCTAATTCTTTCCGGGAACCTTTCAATGAGTTTACACTTTAATTAACATTTCAGCTCCTTTCTATGAAATTGTTGGAAAGTAGGAAGCATCACTAGTTTTTGACTGATATGCTATATGCTGTCTAATTGTTACAGGAGCTCTCTGTAAGAGAAATAACTCACAGTAACGGATGAAACTTTAGCTTTATTTCTGCTTTACAGACCAGAGATGGTAGAACGTTTGTCTTTGATTTGCATGTTTTGCTTGACTTGAGATATGATTGACTTCAGGTTCAATTAAAAGATTTATTTTGGAAAACAATACTTCTAAATTAGAAAGGACACGGCGATCATTTTCATTGAGTCCCCAGCGTGTGATTTGTGCTGATTACACAGCAGCCGTTTATGTACAAATCTGCTAAGTGAGGCTCTAAAATGAGTTAAAAAGTAAAACTGTCATTACAATGAGATAATGGCTCTTGTTTTAAACACAATCTCCCTCAATCGCCAGTTGGCAACTCCACATGCTTTGAAAGAAAGTGTCTTGATTCATGAACACGCCTTTAAACAAGCTCAGCCGTGCTGGGAACAAGTTGTGGAAACGGTCTCACATCTTTTGGCAGACACACTAAACTGAGTTAATTGTTAAGATGGACACTTTTTCTGCTGTGTGCAGCAGGAACCTGACCCGGTGGTATACCCTCATGTAAACACAGAACAGAAATAGCGATGTGGGCAGAGCTCTTTCTCCTCATCACAGTTAGCTCTTTTGTTCCCGGGGTGCGTGACAGCTGCTAGCACGCCGCCATGATGAAGATAAACAACTTCTAGCGGGAGCTCAGACGTGGCCTGTGGGACCTCGAGGAGACCAGAATGTGTGTCAGCCCTAACTCGCCCTGTCACTCATGCAATAATGGCTGGCCACCAATCTGCCTCCGTAAGCACTTTCCTCTCTCTCTGCAGCTGGTTCTCAGTCTCTCTGACCCGCTCTGACTCCGTGGTAGATTGCTTGTTTGGATTTGAGCTTTTACTAATCAGCCTTTTCAAGCTGCATGTTGGCCGGCGCTCGTTAGGCAAAAGGCAGTAGTTCTTTCCCTTTTTTGTCCGATGTATCCTCACAACCTTATCAGATCAGGTTCAAGTCCCTCTTCATTAGTTTACATAGATGGGGCTGGCTTAATGAATGTGTTACTGTAAGTATTTCACTGCAGAGCACATACAGTGACTTTGGTGGTTCAGTGGCTGCATATGTGAGTCTATACAAGACAAACTGATCATCTAGTAGTGATTTTTACCTCTGGCAAGGACGTTGTGTTCTCGGTACTGTATGTTTGTTTGTCTGTCAGCAGGATTACAGAACAACTACTGGTAAAGCATGGGCCAAGGAAGAGCCCATTCAATTTTAAAGCAGATCCGAATCACAAGGCGGATTCAGGAACTGTTTTTCTCATTGTGGTCAACTGTAACACTGGTGTCCTCAAACATCACTCTAGTGTGTAGGAGAAAGTATGGTGGCCACGAAACTTGTGAACCGACCCTCTATAGAGCCAGTGTTTGGTTTGTCCGTTCTGGGTTACTGTAGAAACATGGCGGGCTCCATTGAAGGCAACCGGCAGCATCTGTAGATAAAAACAGCTCATTCTAAGGTAATGAGAACACAACAACTCTTATATTCAGGTGATTTTACACTAATGAAAACATACCTGTGAATATTATATTACATTTCTGACAATAGATTCTCCTGAATGTTACACACTGGACCTTTTAATGAAGCGGATTGTGGGAATGCATTGAGATGCGTATCGCATCGGCCTCAGTGATGGAGATGCAAATCCAGTTTGATTTCTGATTTTCTGATTTTGTAATTAAAGTGACCAGTGTGCAGATTTTCATTCATAGAAGAATGTACAATTGGCCTCGGTGGAGGTTGGTGCTATCTGAGTTAACCCTATAGTTTTTTCAGTTGGTTAATTCTGTGTTCACCTTTAGAGTGGCAGAAACTGGAGATACGCATTACCTGTAGTTTTGTGTTACATTGGCACAGCTTACTTGGGTTGGTGGGAAACTCCAATTAAGCTGTGAGTAAAATCTCAATTACAGCAAAATATATCGGTCTGCAGGAAGCAGTTCAGTGTGTTTTTTTATCAAACCGTGTGCCTTTCAGGTAAAAGGTACCACCAGGACACTTTTCCATCAGGTCTAAATGGAAGCTGTTTGTGAAGCTCTTCACTGCTGCGTTGGTGTCATATTGATATTGTGTCCAAAGAGTGTTTCATGTTC